GGTCCCCCTTTACTTCTCCCTTCACCTGCATTCCTCTGTCACATGTTGAATATTCCTGAAGGTTCTGCACAGGGTGGATCTGTTTATTTGTCATGGAAGTCTTAAATTATACAGGAACTAGCCTATTACTTGATTAATGCTTGTTTTGCTCACCCAAAAGTATATTTTCAAGATAATAATCATAAGTGGTCTTATTTCACTGTCTGAACCTGTTTTTAATTTTTTATATTTAAATATCAAGTAGTTTCAAGTAGCACAATGACATATTGTAAAGTATACCGGTTTCAATTAGACTAGTTAACCTGAGACTTGGACTGCCTGAAGACTTGACTTGATACTTGCCTCAAAGCAAAAACACTGGTGTCTACTTTTGACCTTGTAAAATAGGCCACAGACCATTAAATATTTAATTATTAGGTCTATCAATTAAAATAACTTTTTAGATTTTAAAAAAGTAGAAACATGTTTAAATTCTTGTCCTTTCAACTGTGAAGCATTCACATACCTTGCAACTGAAATGAAAGTCTTGTGACTTAGACCTCAATGTACTTGATTTGAGATGTGCATTGACAGGATCTTTGGTTAGAATTTCTATGGATTTGATCAACACTGCATAATATGACTTTCTCTGAAGAAATTATTGGTTTCATTTTATTTTTAATTTGGATCCGTCATGCTGTCTGATGACTGAAATATACCGTTCCGAACACCTTTTCTCTTTGTCTTTCTTCTCACCACAGCAAGGGAGGAGAACGTGGCCACTTTCCGTGGCTCGGAGTATTTCTGCTATGATCTCTCCCAGAACCCTATCCAGAGCAGCAGTGACGAGATTACGCTCTCCTTCAAGACGTGGCAGCGCAATGGCCTTATCCTTCACACCGGCAAGTCAGCCGATTACGTCAATCTGGCGCTGAAGGATGGCGCTGTCTCCCTTGTTATTAACCTGGGCTCTGGAGCCTTCGAGGCAATTGTGGAGCCAGTCAACGGGAAGTTCAACGACAACTCGTGGCACGATGTCAAAGTGACCCGCAACCTCCGCCAGGTAAGGCCC